TAGACCTAGACAGGAGGACGATTATAGTCCCCATACGAAGCCTTTTGCCCAAAACCCTGTCCGCAAGGCAGCGGAGAGGTGGCAATGATTTAGTTTTACAGAAATGGACGTCATCCCATTTCAAACCCACAACCAGAAAATTGAGTTTATCTGACCTCTCACCATTGGACAACCTGGTAGGTGCCCGCAGACACAACCCAGTAAAGCTCAATGGGTCAATGAGGTACACAAACCGTCGCACCAGGTTAAGGTCCAGTCTCGTTGCGACGGAACCGCAGTGAAAAACGAACATTGATCTATTTTTGCTATCCCTTTGTACATATTGACCAGACCAACTCGTCGGACTGTCTAGCGTTGTGGAGGAATATATCATTTACCTATTTGTTAAACGAGAAGGATTAAAAAGACAGACTGGTCGTAAGTGCTACGGTACTCCTGCAGGGTGGATGCTGATTTGGTACCTAATACTAATTTCAATTGGGCCATCAGTCAAAGACCACACACATCGACTTTGTACCCTACTTGTAAGATGTTAGAATGAAGTTGTGAAAAACTAATACGAAGCAGATCCAGGCACCGTTATTCAGTTACCTCTGTGTTAAAATCAACTATTGAGCCGAAGACTAGGTCTAGGAACCCTGGTGGTTCACATGCTGGTGTTTGGATATTAGGAGTAACCCAGAGTACATATAGGGGCACTCAATGGCGTGGTAACAATTCGGCGGTATAAGATGCTTATGTGAGGCTAATGATGATCTACAAAGTGACGCCCACTATACTCACCTTCAACTAATCGATGATATGCCCGGTAGTCACGTGTTACTTCTCAAAGAATCCGTGCTCACTAATGTTCTGCTAAGTTTGACTGCTGATTTGAAATGTTAACTAGCAGGTGGCTGTTAGTAACCAACATCAGCCGGATTGCTGACAGGAGCTTAAATGTGCTGCACAGGAAATGCTATCTACCGCCTGCATGCTACAAGACTAGAAGAATGGACTGGTAATCGGTTGTTCACTAGACCCCGTATTACCTGACGAAAGATTAGTAGTGGTAGTAATCTCAAAAGTATAGTAAATAGACACAGAGCCTACAAAATCCATGGAGATGAGCAGATAAGGGGCGGAGTCGCGCGTCATAATCGTGGCATAGTAGTTGTAGGTGAGCAACACACTTCAGCTACTGTGCCGTATGAAGAGTGGAACATTTTGACAAAATATAGAACAAAACATTTTTAGTTTGTTTTGCACATGCCGATTGTTCTCTATTTTGAGATTTCCAATGTTTGAAGCATTAAACATAGGAATCCATACACTTCTGTACACAATTCTTCCACTGGTTCCGGGCCATGTCTTCAAGCATGTTAAGCCATTGACAATCCTTATCTTTGGGTCCCCAACTTAGAAAACGTACGGGTCCAGCAGCGGCTAGACGTGACGTCAGCGATTTCATGTGCTGTCGCAAGTGGAAGGCTGACTACCACGCTGTCGCCTCCGGACAGGTCCTCGAAGAGCGTATAGAGCGCGGCGCGAAGCGGCAAACGCTCAGGTGCCATGCGTAGGACATGGCCGAGCTAGTTAAACTGGGCAGCAAAACCAATTTGTTGAAGGGAATACTCGCATTACCCAAGATGTGACGTCGAAGGTCATCACTGTGAACTCGATGTTGCCGCCAAACACGAAAGAACCTCCTTAAGTAACCGTTGTCGAAAGAAAGGAGTGTATCTGCAGAAACAGCCCAGTCATTACACCATGACATTCTGCTTATTCGATGGTAGGGATAGCAGTATATGCAACTAGTACAGTGTCTCATCAACGCATATGTAAAATTCAGAATCCCTCGCTTTATTCGAATACTTAAACTAATCGAACAGAAAACAAAAGAAGGAAGGGCGTGAGCAGTAAGCAGGCACACTGTACCGAGGCTTCACTGCCACGCGACCAACATCAGTCGCGCCATGGCTGGGTATACCGCGAGGTCGCCGCACTTACGCGGATGGGAACCGGTGACCTCCGGATTACAAACGAACGGTAAAACACTTGAGATGACAACCCGAACTATGATTGTAACAGCACCTTACGCATGTCGCAGTTATCGCGATTATCGTTCCATTTCGCCACATAACGCCGCTCCAATTATATACAAATTCACCTGGCTTGACGAAGCCCTTGTGTCAAAAGTGAAAAAAATACGCTAACGGGCTGTTTCCAAACCACTCTGAACTCAGGATATATCGATCGGTTCCAAGATTGCAAGCGTGCAGACTTTCGGAAACAGGCCGACAGAAAGTACCTCCCTTCGACATCCGCCTGTAAAAAACGCAACATGACCCAAACGGTAAGCGCACTCATCATCTGCACACATCGCGGTAAGAGTAGATGAATATATTGACTCTAGCCAGCTGTACAAGAAAGGTTGCTCGGTGGATGAATAGGACCCAATCATGAACACGCTCATGGTGAATAGCTAAATAAAAATATCCATGAGCGTGCAAGGCTAAATACGGCACTGAAGAATTAAGGGTACATGGTAAGCAAGAAGAAAAGATGACGGGGCTGCTTTCGATAATGACCTTGTCATGTAAAGTGTATAATCTTAGGAATGCAGAGGAACAACGCTGCTCGAGCTGTTACAATCCATCGAGCCCGAACATTGTCGATAGCTGCAACAAAGAGAACCCGGAAGGGATTTAAGGCGAAGTGGTTCAATGCGAATTTTCTATCACGCATGCCTTTTCCAAAGTTGCCAAGTCAAGTAGACCACTGCTAACCCATATAAGCAGAGAGCTATTGATCACAAGTGACTGCATAGAGCTCCGCTCGCTAAATTAAAGTCGTCGCGGCAAGCGGGATTACACCGCGTTCAGATAAATGTTAGGCGTTGTCCACTCTCAAATATGCACTCATCGAGAGGCTACAAGCATGTTTACACTCTAAAGCTTAAAATATCAGACATGTAACCGCTTTAGCTACGGCCCCAATCATCGAAAACACCGAGGATCCCTACTGAGTGAAAGTACTCCAAACCGAAATTGCTGTCCCCATCTATTAACACAAAAGCAGACCAACAGTGACTACTGGACGGCTTTAGACATTCCTGGGCGCAGCGATTAAAATTTCCTCATTTAAGCTGCATCTAGGTCGGCGTGTCATATTCGCCGTTAGTCACATATATGCAAGATTATTAAAGGTAATGGCGAAAGGAAACGAAGTAGTGTCATGTAACACCCGTGTTTGGCAACTTTTGAATTATTGCACAGAACCGATCGTCTTACGTGTCCCTTATTCGTTGTCTTAAGGGCAAGAACTCGAAGCGCAGGTATCTAAGCAAATATGTTCACCGCTCATTCAGAGAACAAAGTTGCGCCTTATATCTCTAAATTTTTCGAGCTAATCGCATCCCCGATAGTGGGACCACAATCAGGAAAGCCAAAAATAGTAAGATAGACAATCAAAACGTTGTGAGCAAGCGGCAGGTTGATCCCAAAGCGCGTGCTCCCATTGCCCCTCTGTGTTTGCCAATGGAGTGGGGAAGTGGCCAAATCATTTCAACTGGAGAAGCGAAACAAGCATATTGAAGGATAAACCCGTTTAACCCATAACACCATGTCTAATCTCGCCTATGCGACCACGGTCTTGTCATCACATTCAGATGACCTTTCGCAAACAACAGTTGTCAAAAGCGGAAGTACGAAATGTACAATCCGCGTTAATTGACCAAAACCCACTTCCACATAAGAATGACGCGCGAACAATGACCTTGTAAACCGTGTTATTCTACAAGACATCCCACGATGGCAAACGCATTTCTGTGAAAAGCGAGGTCTAGTCCTATTGCGAAAACAGTAGGAATACCACCCACTCTACTTCAAGACGTGTGCCTTGGCAAGTAAGCATAAAAACAGGAGCTTGACGGTCCTGGGGCAGTAGTTTGCACTTGTAGTGCCTAACTGCAGACGGACGACATGGAAGTAGCCTATGCGTGTGGTAAAATCAACGTTCACTAGTTCAGGTAACTAGGGCCGGCGTGTATCAGCTCAAAATCTTCAATGTCCATACGCAATCACAGCGCCACGAATTAATGCGCTGTTTCATGGTAAAGACAGAAATTTGGGTAAATGTATTGAAAAGAGTAGCTTGCAGTTTAATCTGACTAACGAAGCGTAATGGCTGCGGGTATTGTCATCAGAATAATACCCCACAAAAATAGTCATAAGAGATGTCAAGGATGCATCTACTCACGGACAAATGGGAAACAAACGACTGTGACGTTGTAAGTGCAACACTATAAGAAAAATGATGATGGTGAGGAAGAAAAGATGGTGTTTCAATCAAAAAAGTGGGAAAACGGATGTAGTGCGCAGTACAGTTTATTCATCAGCTGTCGTAGAACATCCAGGCAAGGGGATAACGAATGATGAAGCCCAAACAAGAGGTTGCGATCTGAAATGACGAAACAAAGTACAAATAACCGGAAACGATGATGCAGTAAGTCATGGAAATGGAGATGGGGTAAAAACCGTTAGCTACCAAGGATCTATTGCACCTCCTGTTGAGGAATGCAGCTAGATATCGGAGTACATAATGGAAAAATGAAGCAAAATTCACCGGAGTGAGGTCAAAGCAGAAGCAGACGTGAAAACAGATTAGAAATCCGGCAAAAGAACAAGGTTGCGTTCGTCAGGAGAAATACATTATGGTTCAGGTAGTTCAGAAAAACTGCGGGTTGAAAAGTATCGGTAAATGAGAGGCATTTCAGAACTAAAAGTTGCCAGGGAAGTGGAGGAATGCGGCAGAAATTTAAACAGGTCATCGGTTAACTTTAAGTGTCTAGCCCAACCGTCAACGACCCAGGTTGTCAGCAACAGGACAGTGTGAGTGCAGTAACTACCGATGAAAATGATATGGACACAGGGCTGCTACTACAACATTCATAAAAACGGCTGAAGTGGAACAAACATTGTAGATCGAAAAAGTTTGACGCGATTCTGTGAAGCTGGCTAACCTGGAGGAGTAACAGGAACCTCGTAGTATCTGCTTCTGACATAGGTCCACGAATACGAAGCGCTAAGTTGATTAGGGTGAAGTTGTTAACTTCGACAATCTCCTCCTCCAATTCCTTCCCAGGGATTACAGCAGGAGCATCGTGGTTCGCTTCAGCTGGCTCATCACTTAGTAAGTTTGAATGGGGTAGTGGAGGTTGAAAAGTGTGCACCAAGCGACATTCAATGAGGCCAATGCGTGCGCATGTGTTCAGTATGAACTGGCCAACTGTGCTAAGCGATTTGGGGTGGAAACGAACCTTGCTGGGATGAAGCAGTTTATCTTGTGTATCGTAACTATAAAGAAGGAATGAAGAAAATACAAGAGCAGCATAAGGTTCAAATAACACCATGATTATAAACGTTGGTTAGAAGAAACCCCCGTTTTTGCGATTGGATCTTAGTGAAAGGGGAAAAACAAGAAGCAAGGAATGTTATGCCTTAGTTTATATTAAGCATCGAGTCTAAGATGGTGCTCGGAGGCCGAGCGGAAAGCCGAAGAACAAGGAAACTCACGATACAAACCCCAGTGTGATCGGCTTTTGTCAATTGCAATGGGCACCCCAAACTAACGTGCTCAAAAATAACACATCAGCCGTTCGAACTGATGCTCCACTATCTTACAACCATAATGACCTACGGAGTAATGAATAGTAAAAGAGAGAGAAGGGGAACTAGGCTAAAACAGTAATGCCCAACTCGATAATCCGGCGATAAGGCGCCTACACCTTAGCAATAATATACCGTCATTAACCGAAAGCTACCGTGCAAAAAAGATGGGATTGGCGAAACTGCTCCGCAGTATAATCAGCTATTACCACACAGAAAACAGCACCACACACACACTATACACACTAGAGGTGGGAAACAGCACCAACAAACCTTAAACAGGTAGTCCGATTAGACGACAGCAAACGCGTCACTAATGCTGGCGGTGAACAATGTCCTATAATGTCTAAGCAAGTGTAAGGCAGGTCACGTGGACTCTAGTCAGGAAAGCGAGACGGACCAATGGAACTTAATGACTTCATTTTCTCTGCTTTGTCCCTCAGAAACAAACGGAATATAGGATTAGTATTACTTTTTCAGCAATTAGGAGCCTAGAATGTGGCTTTTGTGCACTTTGCCAATGTCGAAAAGACGAATGCTGCGGGGACGCATTCGTAAGTGTGGCCGGAATCGTCCGTTACTTCAGATTAACAACTACCACCTATTACATTAAGTGTATCCTTTTGCGAAACCCCTGTATAGGCTCAATGCGAGAGCGTATGTTACCGGTACTGAGATTTTGGCCGCTGCACAGTTGATAAAAAAGCGTTTGACATTGTCTAGACAGAGAACATCGGCTCCGAAACAATACCCGGTGTGGCGTGCAAAGTTTGACAAGTATGTCCCCTTGGGTGTTTTCATCATCCACAACCCACATTATGCGTGTTTTCATGGCCAATTGTGTCAGAAGAGTTACTCATACCATTCAACTTTCGCAGAAGAATTACGGTCTATGGAACAACATCCGAAAGAGAGCATAATAACAGCCGCTTCTAAGTAATTCGGTTGAAGCTTCCTAGTCGAATTAAGCACACAACGTGAGCAACCAGGTTCCATCACAGAAGACCATGCATTATATAAGACGTAGTGAGACACTGACGAGGCGTTCACGAAGACGCGAAATGTGCAAACTCTGTCGCTGGAATCACAAGGCGGTAGTCGAAGTTACTTTGGAATTGTGTTGTTTTCCCTAACTTCTGGTTGCATGTAGGCTCGCAATGAGTAAAATCTATTGACCGATCTCACACGGAGTGCAAACGCTGAGTATCCATATGAGAAACAGAGCACAGGCAAGGAGGATTTAGGAGCGCCGTTAGCACACGTTGAAAACTCGGGGGGGGGGGTATGCATTGACTGTTTAGTTGGAAAAGAGATACACAAGAAACTTATGGGGGGAGACGAAGGAATGTTGCCAGAGCACAGTAAACTGACAACACCCAGGCTGTTTGTTCACTGGCCAAACCTCTTTGCACTATGATTATGAAATCCAAGTAGGTGACAAATAAAATAGAGTGAAAACCCAAAATAATCAGCATTATTATCGGTAACAAAATCATATATCCGAATGTAGTACTGGTGTTCAGACGCTACACTGGCAAAACGGACTTCCTGATATGTAATAAGAGTAGATGAGTGGGAACAAGATGTAGAACCTACAAACTTACGATCACAAAGTAAATATCAACGGATTAGTAAGAGGAGTGATAAATTTGTGATGAATTCCTACGTAAAGTAAACATGCTTGGAGATAATGCAATACCACCGAAAAGACTTATTGAGTTTACACTGCATAGCAAATAATAAACATGCCGATGACAGTTACCTATCACTGTTACAGCTATCATCCTCTAACAGTCGTGTTGCTCGTGTATTCCTTTCAGCACCAAACCATAGCCAGTTTGATGACAATGTGTGCAATGACATTAAGGACTATATGAATAAGTTTCGGCAGATTTGCAAGGTAATTAGAATGCAGTGAAGTGACGGTTGAACGTATGGCAAATAGAGGCGCCCGGGCATCTATAAGACCCTAGTTACTTTTGTTAAGCTTCGCCATCTCTGGCGCCAACATGACCAGAGTCCCTCAATGAAGGGCTGAATTTCAAGGCGGTGATGATAGCGATCCTGCTCTACGGACACTGTAGAAGACCAGTTATACCAGAACTTTCATGAGCTGCTCCTAAGGGCTCTTAAAACAGACATCATTGTTTTGGCAGGTGACTTCAACGCGCGTGTCGGTCGTCTGCTTCCATGTGAGCGCCATCTCGGGGGACCGCGTGGATATGATGATGTTCGCTCAGACAATGGAGAGAGACTGCTCAGTCTGTGTGTTGGTCGTCAACTATTCCTCTCCAGCACCAGCTTTCGTCAACCTGGACGCCAGTATGCTACTTGGCGCCCTCATCATCAATCCAGCGCTGATCACAGATTAACCATATAGCTATAAGTCGCAGATGGCGCGGCAGCGTAAGCGACTGCCGATCATTTTGGTCAACATGCGTCGCTACTGATCATACACTGGCTTGTGCGACCGTTTGCATGCGTTTCGGTGGTTCGCCTAGGTCAAAACACACCCGACTGAAGTTGGAGGACCCAATGGTGAAGAAGGAGTATCAACAAAGGCTTCGTGAATATCTCGCTCTCTCTCACTCTGGATGTTGATCAACACTGGTCAAGGCTGCAACAAACTTTGCTATCGGCCGGTTTGTCCACCTGTGGCCCCGCTCACTCCACTTCCAAATGCTGGATCTCGGGAAGATCCTCGGAATTGCTGGATCGCCGACGGGCGATGCCTGCTGGTGCACAGTACAACGAAAACCGCCGGCCTATTATGCAACAGCTGAAAGCAAGCCTTTGCTCTGATCGTGAATCTTGGTGGTCAAAACAAGCTGCTAAGATGGAAGCCGCTGCATCAGCTGGCAACTTCCGCCGTCTATGTTGCATCATCAGGGTCACCGGTTGCAATTTCCACGCTATCAGCCAGACGATTTGTGAATCAGACGGCACGTAGATCACCAACCTTCACAGGTGATTGGGTCGATGGGCAGAGCATTTCGCTCTTCAATTCAACCTCACAACACAGCCCCACTGTGACACCTCCAGCACCAATGGATGACGCTTGGCCTGTCTCCACAGCCTCCCCAAATGAAGCAGAGATTCGAAATGCAATCCAATCTTTGAAACGCCACAAGGCGCCGGGTCCTGACAACCTACCACCGGCTCTATTCAAAGATGGCGGAGTGTACTTGTCAGAGAAATCCTATCGCTGTTCACGAAAGTTTGGACTGAGGAGAAAGTTCTGAACTCATGGGGAGAATCGGTCATTGTTTCGATTCACAAGAAGGGCTCCCGCGACGATTGCTGCAACTACCGCGGAATCTCGTTAATCTCTATCGCATCCAAAATCTTCGTTTCGGTCCTACTTAGCAGGCTATCAACGACTAGAGAGGACTTTTCCCGAGAAGGACAAGCCGGATTTCGTCCAGGCCGCGGCTGCATCGACCAAACCTTCAAGCTTCGCCAACTTCTCGAACTTCGTCATATCCACCGGAGGTCAACAATCGTAGTGTTTCTGGACATCCGAGCGGCAATTGATTCAGTAGATAGGCCTGCGTTGTGGGACCGTTTACTGAAGAAAGGTGTGCCCGACAAGTTTGTAACCATCCTGAAAGTACTTTACAGTCACACGTCGGGCAAAGTAAGGGCTTACGGCACACTCTCTTCTTCATTTGCTGTGACCAGCGGTGTTCACCAAGGTTGTCCTATTTCACCTTTCCTCTTCAATTTCGCCATCGAAGATGTTCTCCAAAGAGCACTGGAAGGTGTCCAGAATTGCGGTGTGGAACTCCTCCCTGGAGACAGAATCACGGACTTGGACTACCCCGATGATATCGCCTTGCTGGGGGACGACCCACAAAGCGTCCAGAGCGCTTTGGACCGTTTAGCGATGCAGGCGTCTGAGTACGGCTTATGCTTCACTCCGGGAAAACGTAATACGCTGCTCCAGAACTTGCAGGTGCCTGAACCCGCGCTCATCATTGCTGGACATGTTCTGGAACAAGTCTCTTGCTTTACTTATCTAGGGAGTTGCATTACGGCTGGTGGCGGAGAGATTGCCACGGCCCGCCTTGCATTCATCAAACTGGGACACCTATGGCGTCGTCGTGATGTCAGTCTCAAGCTCAAGTGCAGGGTGTACAATACTTCCGTCCGAGAAGTACTCTTGTACTGCTGTGAGACTTGGCCTACTCGCTCGGAAGATATGAAGCGGTTGTCAATCTTCGACAATCGCTGCCTACGAAGGATTGCTCAGGTGTGGTGGCAACACCACGTAAGCAACGCAGAGGTGCGGGACCGCGTGCTAAGAGCGAGTAGTGCAAGTTTTCAGGACGTTATTCTCCGACATCGCATGTGTTGGTTCGGGCACGTTTTGTGCATGTCAGCTCATCGCCTTCCACGTCGAGCGCCATTTGCACTCCCAGGGAGCGATTGGAAAAAGTGCCGCGGTGGACAGCCAGTGACGTGGAGAAGGCGCATGAAGAAGGCAACCACAAGTTTGGCGACAGTCGGACAAGTCCGTCTTCCAGATTGGGGACCACGAGATGCTGAATTGCAGTGGTTGGAAATATTGGACGTCATGGCCCGCAACAGACATCATTGGCGTCAATGTTGTTCTGCTATTTTACCATCCATTTGATGCACACAAAACAAAAAATACAGAATGGCGTGCGAAAAAACCAAAAACATCCTTTCCCATATTATTTTTAATATATATATATATATATATATATATATATATATTCTTGATGCTTCTTCACCGCAGTTGGGCTAAACCAACTTACACTTAAACTAGGTCTTTCTCAGCTGGATAAATTTCATTCCGCTTTATTTGGTTTGTTCTGCCTCCCTGAATAATGTTCTATTAACTGGCCACGTTGCTTACACTAATTGCGCTTATCTTCGGTAATTTTGTTGCGTTTGTAGCATTTTAAGTAACTTGTGGACATTTCTTACTTATCACGGATTTGTTGCTAACCAACTTACTTCATATGGTAATTTAGCGAAGAGTTATGCCACCGTATCTGTATGCATTATTGGATTTATTTTATTTCAGCTTGTCGTTTAAAGTGAATGGCTGTTGTTTGATATCCCTGGTATGGTTGCGCTTGATGTGTATGTTGACAAGGTGCCTACCTGTCTATTACCCACTACATCGTTCATACTGGCTCCAGGAGACAGTTGGTCGTTGCTGGAGGGGACGGGGTGCACGGTTCATGTGGCCGTGCTAGGCTCAAAGAGCGGTTCCATGCACTCAGTGTGGAGCGGACTACGGTTCAGCCACCGCCTTGTGTGCGCTTGCTTTCCCAAATACAGCGTGCTTGTGTTTGCCTGTGAAGGAGTGTGGGCCGGCTCCGTTGATGAGACATGGTTCCCATCCGCATGCCTCCCGGTCTTATTCCTTCGGGTTTACACTGGATATGGGGTATGTGGTTGGAGCTGTGGGTGGTGCAGCGTAAGCCATTCATGGTCCCTCTGTAGGTGCAGGCGTCCTGTGGCTTGCCACAGTGACAGGCAAATCCGAAACCGGATGCCGCCAACCATATATACAACATGGACATTGGGTCTCTTCGCAGTCTCTGGAACTTATCGATGCTCGCTGACATATTCCGGATGTAAGGGAACAAAATGAAACTCGCAAAGAGCTCTGCGCAAAACGCCGTGCTAGTCTGAAGAGAGACCGCGAATCCTGGTGGTCTCATCGTGCGTCAGAGATGGAAGTAGTCGCTGACCTTGGTAACCGTCGAAAAATATTCCGTCTGACACAGGAAAAAAGCAGCAGGAGATGTGGTGTTAGTGAAACAATTTGTGACGATACTGGACAGCCTATCCACAATTTGTCAAAACGTTTGGAGCGTTGGGCTGAGCATTGTGAAACGCAATTTAATCAGCCGGAATTATTCGATCCCTCACCGGCCAGTGATCGCCCTGCTCTATGGGCTGTCCTTTTGGATCCGCCCTCTCGCTCAGAAGTCAAACGTGAGATCGGACTATTGAAGGTGAACAAAGATGCGGGACCAGATGAACTACCTCCGGCCCTCTTCCAATTCGAGGGGCCTGCGGTTGATGATTTACACGAACTACTAGTGAAACTTTGGGAGCAGGAAACTTTCCCTACCGACTGGAGCCGCTCCGTTATTGTTCTCATCTTCAAAAAAGAATCGCGCTCGGAATGCGGCAAGCCTTGAGAAATTAGTCTGATCTCCATCGCCTCCAAAGTACTTACCTATGTAATCCCTCAGAGACTGACTGGCGCTCGTGAAAGTCAGACTCGTGAGGAGCAAGCCGGGTTTCGTCGGGGTCGTGACTGCATCGACCACATCTTCACTTTGCGTCAATTGTTGGAGCACCGTCACACCTATTGGCGGCCCACCGTAGTCAGGTTCCTCGGTATCAAAGGTGTATTCGATTCGGTTGATCGATGTACTCTTTGAGACTGTCTACTAAGGAAAGGTGTACCTGAGAAATATGTAAATATTATTTGAGCATTATACGAGCGTAGCTCAGACAGCTTGAGGGCGGCTTACGCTAAGCTGTCATCGCCCTTCAATATCTTCAGCGGTGTGAGACAAGAATGCCCGCTATCACTTTTTCTCTTCAACTTCGCTATTGACGAATTAATGGAAATCGCGTTCACAGGACACGAATTAGAAGGTGTGGATCTGCGCCCAGGAGAACGACTTCTTGACTTGGAGTATGCAGACGACATTGCCCAAATCTGTGACAGCTCACAAGCGTGCCAAGCTACAGCGGACAGATTAGTACTGGCTGTCCTTCACTTCGGGCTTTGCTTTGTACCATCGAAATGCTAAGCTTTCCTTCAAGATTGGCAGGGATCGCCTCCTGCGCTGACCATTGGTAGGGATCAGCTAGAAGTCGTTCAGGAATCCAACTACCTGAGAAGTTGTATCAGCGCCCTTTGGATCGAAGACGAGATCACGAACAGTATAGCAAAAGCTCGAAGTGCTTTTGTTAGTTTTCGCCACTTATGGCGGCGGCGCGACATCACTCTTGCCCTGAAGAGTAGAGTGTACAGTGCAGCGGTACGGTTAACCTTACTGTATGATTGTGAAACCTGGCCCCTTAGATCAACGGACATAAAGATGCTAGTTACTTTCGACCACCGGCGCCTTCGCAATTTAGCTCACATCTGGTGGGAACACCGCGTGAGCAACGAGCGTGATCGAGGCCTTGTTTACGGCACAGGAAAAACAAATGAACCGCTCAGCAGCGTTATTTCCCGCACTAGGCTCAGATGGCTCGGTCACGTTTTACGCATGCCAGCCCACCGACTCCCAGCGACGTGCGTTGTTTGCGAACCGGTAGTGTGGATGGAAGAAGAGGAGGGGTGGCCAAGTGATGACTTGGTCCAGAGGAATGAAGGCCCTCACTTTGAACCTGGCCTCGGTTGGAGCTTCATGGCTCCCTGGTTGGAGTCCAAAAGACAATGAACACGTTAGGCTAGATAAACTTGCTGACCTCAGTACCGTTCCTGTTGTGAGTTCCTTTGTCTCTCTCCATCCCTTTCAGCCTCCCCTCTCCAACCACAATTTCATTCCGCAGCATAATATAATTTTAAATCAGAATTTTTCTTGTTGCCTAGTAGCTGGCTGCTAGCTTTCCGGAACGATGCCTATCCGTTGCTGGTAGCTCAGCTGGCATGTAATTGTTGTATTTATTTTTTTCTTTTACGTACTGCGGCGCAGTATCTGCGTTTTTACACCTCTAGCTAACATGTATAATGATGATGATAATGCTTGGTATTTATGCTTCGGTAATTGTTGAACGACCTTACACAGTAACCCAAACAACCAGAGAGCAAGTAACCCTGGAGTCGAGAACGATGCTCAACATAGCTTGACCTGTGGTTACTGCGTCATCATCTCCGGACGCATGCGACCAATAGCGATAGGATGTTCTAAGCGCAGTCAGCTCGATGTCCAGTCGAAAATTCTGGATCCAGCTTTCATGGGTGCAGCACACGTCAGCCTGATGGATCATAGCGAGCGCATCGTTACAATACCCGGGAGAATGTAAAAATTTAACAGGAAAGCCCATTAGTGTAATGAAGAAACAACTCGAATCAACAATGTTCAAGGGGTACATCAATACAGTAAAATTACAGTCCGTTAAGCGATACATGGGATCGGTTCTACTACCGGTCTTAGCAGCTAACCAACTGTTCCAGATATGTGTCCAATTTTGAACTGCTCGTACGGTTTCGATAGTCGTTCTGCACCACACTTTTGTGTCAAGCCGTTTATTTCTTATTTTGACTGCGACTGGGAGTTTGAGGAGAATGCATTCGGTTCATATTTGGTAGTATGGTGAAAAGGTTGCAGATGAGTAATCCCGATCACTTACGCGAAAAACACGGGAGGTGAGTAATGGAGATTAAGTGGTTTAAAAGGAAAACAGATGGAGAATAATACTAGCATCGACAATAGTTTAGTTTTGGTTGGCCTGCTTGCTGAATACATATATAGGGGAACAAAAAGCACGTTGGGGACGAACCAGGAGACAAAGAATGGGAGAAAAGCAAAACAGTAGATTTAGGTGCATAATACATGTCACAGATGGCTACTCAATGGAAGTCTTCTGCACCTGACCGGTGGATCGCATTCGCGTATACAATAAGCTTCGGGTGAAGTGATAGCAAAACTCCACTGAAAGATTGTAACGCAATGTTCGGCGGATTCACATGCATGACGCAATGCCCCATTTTCGCATAGGAGTTAAAATATAAACGGTAGTGACAGGGGTTTTGTTGTCTGATGCAATACGAAATGTTCTCAACACCATTATTCACCCCTGACCCGAAAAATTCCTGAAGTTGTGATTTTGCGTCAGTAGAATAAATGTACATGGGGAAGTCAGTACTCAAAATCAACTCACTATGGTAGGCGATGTCGTGGGCATGGAATCAGGGCGAACAGTTGAGGGACACTGTACACAAAGTTGAATATTTGCGGGATGAAGAATAACATCAAAGTTTTGCTGAAGTGACCCAAAACCCCAACAACAGCCAAGGTCATTCCGGCAAAGTAGCAGAATGTGTCACCCACAAAAACTGATGCGGGGTAACTGGAATGGAAGAGCGGAAGGGTAGCTAACTGTTTTCCATCGTGAATGAAGTCTAACGATTCAATTACGATGGTAGACAGTTTAGAGCAAATGATTGGATTAAGGTAAGTAGATCAAATTATGACCGGGATAATCGTATTACAAGACCGGTTTCACGGGTGCAGCAAAAGCCAAAATATCAATGATACCACTTTTGTTGCTGGAATGCTAGTACATTTAAATGCAGCACTCGAACGCAAGGAAGCGGTGCATAGCGGAGAACAAACGAGTTTACGGATCCGGTCCCAAGATAGTAGATATGTTCATACGGACCGCTTAAACTAAAATGACAAGACTGAAATAGACATTAGCCCTGAGGGAAGTAGGTCTCAGAGGACTGAAGACCGCCAGAGCTCCTGAGATGGATGAATCCGGCATGTGGCCAGAGATACATTGACTAAACACCTTATGGATGCAAGCAAGAATTCAAAAGGCAGTCACAAAGTCATACCAACATTTGGCTGAAAGACAGCCACGAGCAATCGAAGCCGCTCGTTTAAAAGAAAGAAGCAAGAAAAAGAGCATGATAAGACAGAGTAGTTTCGTTAATTAAGACGAGAATAAGGTAGCATACATTCAGTAAGGTTTAGTTTCGTAAATCAATCAGGATCTGAGCACTGGAATTAGATGCACACAGTTATTATGGTCCTCGACACGATAATAAAATAAAGGAAGCAGGGCTAGAAAAAGAGAAAAAATGTAAACCAAATCCCAGACATGAATCCAACGGTCAGCTACAAGAGCAAAAACTCCAGTGGAAACATGCAAAGAAAGCCAACATTATTATGATAGCAAAGTTGAGGAAACAATGAGAGATAAAACGACGCAGATGAATCGCACTCATCCCCCGTTGCCTCGCGCTGGTTTGTGCAGTCGATGAGTAGAGAAATGAAAATGCAAATGGTAATCAATGGTAACCCTTTCAAAAAGAAAATGTGCCGTGTAAGGGGTCGGTTGTGCGGCATTTCACCCTCATGATTTTAAGAGCTCGTATGGCCGCGGAGTGGTGGAGCCTTTGACTCTAAATGCCAGTGCCAACCACCGGAAGAGATGATAAAGTGTGAGACTGGAACAAGACCACCTATTTCGCTTTAACACGTTCAAATTAGCCAGCATTCTCGAGTATGAAGCCCATTTTCACAGCAAACTCATCTTTGTTCATGACCGCCATTCCTGAACGCCTATCTCAGTGGGCAGTTCGCGTATTCCCCGCGAATACCCCTTGTAAGTGCGCATTGCGTTTTACTGGCACGGTTTTAACCTAATGAGCAGCATCAGTCAGTATGATCCTGATCCAACTAAGTCCAATGGTGCTGATTAGTAGAGCCGCGTTTTCTTGACCAAAGAGGTTCCCCTGATGAGCCTCAACAAACAGAAGTTTGCCGTTGAATCCACATAACGATGCTTTCAACTGCAAACTGTCAAGCTTCATATATGAGAAGTTCACCGCATACGGTTTTGGATCACAAATACAGGTCCCTCATTCTAGATGCTATTAAGCAATTCTTCGAGCCTTGTAAGATAACTATTTTGTATGACCAACGGTAGCTTTATTTTGGCAAGTGTAAATAATCCGACAAGGACCAAGGAGAATAGGTGTGGGTAAGTTTCCAACAAACGCAAAAAGCAGCTGAGTCAACCACAGGGAAACAGATAACACGTGAGGGCAGCTCTGGAAAGGAATAAGTTTAGTTCCGCTTAACAGCTTCAAGATCGCACGAGGATAGGGGCGTGGGTGAATAACCTAGACAGCAACTTTATTCCTAAGCGTGTGCAATCCGCACAACACAAACTGAGCAACAGCGTCTCGAAAATACCAGTCAATACAAGAAATGTTTCCTCGATAGAACAGGGGGGCTGTTTATAAATTGGTAGATGGACGAACTTTTATTCTCGACGGCGCGATATTCGACCCACTTCAGTATGGTCATGGATATGCAGTCATAAACAGAACACTAATGGAAAGCTAGTTGGAAAAAGTCAGTTATTCGCAAAGACGTGAGTGGCACGTGAAAGAAAGGAAGTGAATTGTTATCCTCATCAGAGCAAGGTAAATGGTGTACGGTATGACCATATGCCTGAGTACAGAAATTAAACAAAATCGCCACAGTGTGGACAAAAAGGCGGCAGTTAAAAAGAAGTGAAAATGAGATTGCATCAGCACCATAGCAAGTGAACCTTCGGAAGGCGAATGAATCGCTAGTACATAAAAACAATATTATCAACTTGCTCATGGTAGGATAGCATAAATGGCAAGAGAAATAATCGTCCATCAGCAATCCAACCAAATGTAGGACGGTCGGTGGATCAGCTATCAAGTTGGAACGCAATGGTATGTAGGAAACGGTGACTCGGAAATCCCTGCCTTCCATTAGCGGTCTTAGTATGTGTCTAAAAACTGCCGAGTATCACTTCGTGTGGACGAAAAACTAGACAACTACACTGAGATGATACAACAAACGCTGAGAGAATGGAGAGCAAAAGCAGAGCTGAGGAAGCCCGTAACTTATCGGAAATTCAACGCTTCACTAAGAGTTGGCGGCTTTTGCAAAGTGCCAGAAGAAAAACACGATTAGACAAAATGCACAACTTCAGCATCCAGATAATACTGGAGGTGAAAAAGTCGAGCTTTGTTCAATCAAACAGTAAGTGGAAATCGAGTCGACTCACCGGTTAACTTTGTACAAAGCCCAGCAAACCGCGATGAAGGGAATCAGAAAATAAAGTGAGAACAAGTGTATGCGCCAGAGGTGACCTAAATTGGACAGAGAACAGTGCTTACTAGTCGGTCTAAAAGGTGTTCCACAGCAAATTGCGAGGATAAACTATAACAAAGGTTCTGCTTAGGTGCGAACAAACAGAATAATCGGAACTAAAGAAAGTGCACCAGTTTCATCAATAAAAGTGGTGATGTACTCTGTGGAGAATGAGCCCAATAAACACAATAATCGCAAGACGCACGTGCTCCAGTAAGTAGTTCTGGCAGATTTCAAAAAGGAGACGCGCTTTCGAGATTCCATATAAAGTGCCAATGAAGTAGAGCCATCGAGTGTATGCTTACTTGCTAATACCGTGGAGACAATATGGGTAGGTTTAAAAAGTTTAAACTTAGGTGTCCAAAAAGAAAATGGCCTAATCGTTACAGATACTATACCCATTAGCAAACGTAAAGAAGGGACCACAAACCGAAAACCATACAACTTCCCTCACCAAATCACCTGACTGGTATCAAAAGCGACACGTAAGACACCTAATCGACTGACTTCGTTGCACTATTGATTGAACTCAACTTCTTACGTCATTGTAACAGGCAGATGTGGAAGTAACCGTCAACGAACGCTGATTGCAAGCCTAATGTCTGTCCTCTTTTTGGAGTTTGCAAACGTATATGGTTGACACAAGTGCATAAGACAGTTCCGAGAGCCTAGTGCCCATCATTAACCGAAATATTCCAGCAATACTCGCTCGATGCGCCGACAAGCTGTGGTAAAATAGTGCGCAGGTACATGTGGTCAAATACGGTCACTTAATGTCACTAACACACGTTGGCCACGTTTCTGGTCTATGGGGAAATATCACTCACGGCAGTGTCGTGAAACCAAGAGGTAAAACATCAGGTGAGAACTCGCTATTTCCATGGCTATAACAGGAATTGAAAGGTAGCATGCGCCCTCCTACATCCGGTAGTGATCTCTCAGGTAATTGAAGAATTGAAAGGAGCGACCTTTCTTAAGAACATCATGTGATCATGAGAATCGTAGGTGTATCGGCTCATGCATACAGCGCTGCTCAACACCCCGGAAGACTGAAACAAGTGTCGAAGTGTGCATTGCATTGCACTTGTCTACATACTAGTGCCTGTGAGGAGACTGTGTTCGGCTGAAGAAAAGTTTACAGGTCGAACCCCGTTCAGCTGATCTCATAAGAAAGTGTGTAGTTGCTCATCAAATTAGCATCATGTCGCTGACAACTGCGTGCAAGTCCCCGGAACTTGCCTGATTTGTGTTTACTAGCTATTTAAGGCTTTTCAGCATAACACAGTTTCGATGGGAAGATAACACTGTCCGATAACCCATGTCCTGGATTGCAGACGCCCTATGGAGCAGTGTGCAAAAATCAGCCTCTGGGTCGACATTCCCTGCTAGCGCATACAGTGCAATAGTCAAAACTCACATCCTCAGTATAGGTTTCAGGATGAAAGATGATTTCGATTGAGCAGGTCTACCAAAAATATTTCACTTTCGGGGCAATTTCTTTGATGATCTTTTCTTCTCCGTAGCCGATAGAAAAAAGGAAAACCCATTACTGTATGACGGGTATCATAATATGTGTCCCCAAAACAAAGCCCAATGGGAACACCACCAAGACTCGCTCGATGTATTAACCAGATGAAGAGTTCTATCTAGGCGTGTGGTTAGTGGAATGCCCAGTCAACTATTTCTCCTTTGCTTCGCTGTTCTATGGGTGCACATGTAAATCTCTTTGAGAATTGAAAGATTAAAGGGATAAACAAGCAATCAAGAAGTAAGAAATTCATGAATCATGTGATGGAAATGTTTATCGGTCGCTGAAGCTAGGGATAGTGGTCAAACTGAGAGACTTCCGGCGGCGCTTAACGGACAGGTAAGAGTTAGTACCCAGGAACCGGTCCAAGTGTTTTTCAGACGTAAGAGTCCGAGTACAAAACAACCAGCACGCGTGCTCATTGTGAAATGGCAGTATGGGCTAAGGATACTGCATATCAGTCTTCACGGACAGTTCCGATAGCAGTTTTATCTATCCGGTGCAAACTAGAAGAAATGGGGTATGGACGATTAGAGTTTAGCAGCCCTTAGTGTCTAGCGCGACCTAACTGAATTGCATCGGAAGTCTAGCGCAGTAGACCAAACACAAGCTGGCCATAAAAAAGGCATCAGCAATGCGCCGGTACGCAGTACCGACGCGATGGTCGTCCGGTCTCTACGCAGGTTCGACCCGCGCCCTCGGAGTACAAGACAGAGTTGTGACCCTTAAGGCTACGGATCGGCAGCTGTACATCAGAGTAAACTAGAAGATGAAGAACTAGTTAGAGGAGAGTGAGTTAAACGCGCGATTATCAGAAGAAGGGAAGTCCGGAGTAACATGCATATAAGGTACTTGATGGGTCGCAGTTCACTGTCTATAACTCGCCAGACCCGGGACTATCCAGTGGAACGGAGACCGATCACGTGTAAAAAACCGACAGCTTCGTGGCTTAAGAGCAAAAGTGAAGTACAATTACAGTTGCTCATACAATAATTTCGAGTAAAAATGGGTAGCAAACAATTAAAAAAACTGAGGCTATTCTCAGAACAGAAGATCGCTTTAATCCAAACACGCCTCAGTGGTACCATCGATACATGCACCATACAAAATATATAACACGCTCAAGGTGTTTTGTATGCCGGCCCTAAGCCCAAAGATAACGAGCTTGTAGTCTGACGGCGCGGTTTCAGGCCAGGGTCAGCGAACAACCACTTCAGATAAAGTAAGTTTCGGCGTCACGAAGTGTCCTTATCAACTGAGAACAAACTAGAATACCCCACAGTTCAAGGCAGTAATACAAATAACGATACCCCTTGTAAAGGGGAAAGACGCCGGGCATACTTGCAACGTTGGAGGTATATATCTCTTAGTCGACAAACATTTAAACGAAATGAACTGTGATAGAGAAAGAGTGTTCATTCGAATATAGCGAATGTTACAAATCAAACAGTACAAACCAGATTGTCAAATAAGTATGTGAGAATCAGAGCTTAAGAAGGACAGAACGTCGGCAATATATTTTTCACGATGAATTCGACTAGCTGAGAGCTCCGTTGTACAAGTAATCTTGTTCCATGGCATGATTTATTGATTTATAAATAAATAAATAAATTTTATCCTCGACTACGCGAAGCACGCCATTAAAGATATGGGCATAGTAACAGCAAAACAATTAAACAAGGTATGTGCAATAGTATAATAGGATTTCCATGTATGTGAATCCAAAAATGTAGGTAGGTGTGTTCCTTGTGTTTGTAAATGTGTTGCTGCTCTTTGGAATGAGTTCGATCGAGTCGTCAGTGTCTAAAGGAAAGTTTGTCGTCTTCGGATTTGATAAGATTGTCCGAGTAAGCAAGGGCAGGGACTTTATTTGGTGGTGAGTCACATCCGCAACGTAGCAGGGTTGTTAAACGGACATTTGTGGCTTTTCATAGGGAGAACGCTCGCCTGACGAAAACCCAAAACGTCCTGGAAGCCTGCCGCCGAAGTATTTGCTGGAACGGATTAAACTAGAACCACCCGGCTGGCATCACGGGGAGGTTGTTCGGATAGCGGCGAATCCCAGCTACCAGCTTAGTATTAGCAGGCGCTAATGCAGTATGGTTATTAGAGATAAATAACAAGAAACCTGGTTTATGACATTGAATTGCTGATCAACCGTGAGACAAGTCTTCTCGTTGGGGACAAACACGTAGCGAAAAATCAAAACGCAATCGTGGATTGCGATTTATCAATGGGTAAACTGAGACCATACTCTAGGAACAGTAAGGAGAGACAAGGTGCGATACTGTTCCACCATAAACTGGTGTTTATAGATACGTGAGTATTCTACGCTCCCGACATTCGAAAACTCCAGGTCGCAGGAGTGCTAACAGCAGATGAAAAGGAACCCTGTGAGCTGACATGGAAGTCCGGAGATAGTCTCATTTTTTATTTTTAATCCATTTTACCATAGACCAGAGTAGGGAATGTTTGTTTGCAGGGTCTCAGGAAACATGCATTGAGGTCCTGCAGGGGGGGGAACTGTATGAGCTAGATTAGCTGGACAATTCTTATTTTTCGACAAGCACAAGGACGTTCATACAACCCCGACCATAACACCGTCATCTAATGCCCATTTTGCGCAATTTGTCGCCAAGCGCAACCAGTTTGCTGAGCACTTATACTACTTATGTTTCATTTCAGTTGATGTTTATTTTCCCACATTCGCTATTTATCCATTGTCGTCGGTTCAACGCACCCCTATCCTGTCAGGGTAACCGATGAACTTCGCGCATGCTTGGACGCGTTAATTCTGCACTGTCCACCTATCTAATGCGACTGAGGTCAATTTCCATGTAAGGTACTTAGTTGCCGTTCACTTCATTTGTTAAGCATCGCCTCCGCTTGCTTGATGATCGGTTGCCAATGAATCCAATGTCATCAGATTGTGTTCGCTGGAAAGATCGCTGTAGTTCCGGCAAATCCATTCAAGTTGTCTATCATCAGGCTGCACTTCGCGCTAATTTAATTCTCCGTCCCACGCCAACAACGCATAGTAGGCCTCATGTAACGCCGTGCCTCGTCGATCACCCTCACACAGAAGACCAGTCACGATCAGGCCCTTCAAGAACATTCGCAGCATTGCCAGCAACATACAATCAATTTTCCTAGTCCACTGAATCCATAAGGGAAGCAAGCTCCTACTTAAGCAAACCATTTTCCCCATAAGAATCTTCAACTCAATCCAAAAGCACATCAAGTTGAATCTAAAGTGGCGCATATGCACAAATGCGTGCTCATCATCTAGACCAATTGCAAATCAATGCACGAGTACTCAGAACACCTGCATCGGTTGGTGCAGCGGTTAGATTTTGCGCTCAGGGAACAAACCACGTGAGACACACGCGGACGTCAAAACAACACGTGAGCTCAGTCACTGTAGGATGCGGTGCGGACTAGCGCGCGGCATCCATGGATGGTTTGCGGAAG